GGGGGCTGTCGTGAAAATTCATGGGAATTCATAGAGCAGGCCTGACATGCCAAGTTTAATTCATTTTGATGGATGAGGATAGGGGGAAAAATGAGGTGCTGAACATCTATTAGCTATCTTTAGAGCAGTGTGCTTGCATAAACACAACGGAGAAGTGAAGCAGTGGGATTCCCTGAGTGTTCATGTGGCAGAAAATGCATTTTAATGTGGTGCTTGACAATCACTGAGGGTTAGAGGACTTAAAACTAAATTCTCTTTCAATCCATTAAGCTTTCACTTGAGCCCGTGCCCTTATCTACCTCCATTCATGCTCAGCAGCTTTAGGTACAGTCAGATAATGCTTCAAATAACACAGGCTTTTGCCCCTATTTCTCCAGGGTAGGTGCCATTTCAGACACCCCTTATCAAGGTTTACAAAGAATTTCTTAAAGTAAATAGTTTTTGTTTTCTTGTGAATGCCACTATAAGTAAACCTAATCTTTTAATTAACCCTGTTGATTGAGTAATTCTAACCTTTGCCAAAGGCGCTTTTGATTCACACTTCCTTCGGGGTGCAGAATAAGGTTTTATCCCCCTAATTCTCTAAAGGTTCAAGACCTGCAGACTTTTTTAATCTCAGCCTGTGAAATGTGTCACAGACTCAAGAGTGACTGAAAAATTACTAGAGTTGACTGACGCAACAAGGAGAAAATCGGTCATTTAAGTAGCCCAAACAATCACTGACAACACAGGCATAACAAGCTCGGACAGCAAAAATTTATTCCACATGCTCGTGTTGGCCTCGTTGGCCATTTGTCTTGGCATTTCAGTAGCTTGGCTCACTTCCCTCTGCGTAGTCCTTTTTTTTCCACCGTACAATTGGAGCTAACCAGCGAATGTAAAAGCTGGCGTAATCCTGACACTCAAACAGAGAACAGTACAGGGTCAACAGTGATACCAATGCCGGGAAATGGGGGGAAGTTCTACTGAAACAAGAAACAGGGAGGGAGGGGGAAAAAAATATGGCAAGCAATGTGATGCAATTCAAAAGAGGGAGCATGGTATCAAACTGCCTCCTTATTTTCCCTAAACAGTTAAAACCAATATAAATGTTGGTGTTGTATAATATCCATTAATGTACAGGGCCTGTGCCTAAAGCTCCTTTTTAGCCTATGGGTCAGAGAACAGCAAATATTTAGGAAAAACCGAGTGGCTTATAACTCAGGTTGAAAAATGGACCTGTGTGTAAGTCAGACCCAGCACCTTAAGAGCCTGGCTAAATGTGAGACTCCATATTTTAAAAACATCTCGCTCAGGTGGACAAGCCTCTCCACATCTCGCTGTACTTCTGAATGGACAACCAACCACAAGCAAAAATATCGCTGAAAATGCTGTCCAAGAAAAACGGATCCGATTGCAATTTGCTGAGCAAATTGACATTAATAAGGGGGGAAACAGCATTCAAGATGTCAGTCAGCGGTGCCTACTCAAAAACGGGGGGCAGGACTCCTGTTTTCTGCCCAAAACAGACAAGCAGGTAAGTCATTCAGACAGTGACGAGCTGACACCTGGCAGCAGCGTGAGGAGGGTTATTAATGTAGCGTATCTACTGGGAACTGAGTTGAGTTGTGTGTTCTCTGCACACACACCCCAAAAGAAAAAAAATGTCGACTTTCCAGAATGAGAACATTCATTTTTCTCATTGGGTCTCACCATTACTGCTACATTCATTTTCTTTCTCCCAGAGGACCGAGAAATCAGTTTTGAAAGGGGATGTGTAGCCGACAGGCACTTGACATCCCTGCATTACATTCATGTTCACTCTGGGATTCGAGATGCGGTGAAGAAGAAGACGACGAAACATAGCCGAATTGTCATGACAACCTCCATGCACTGCTGCAAATGATTGTTTGGTGTAACTAGGAAAAAATCCACTGTTGTTGATGTAAGTTAGGCCTTTTTATTCCAAGTCTTTTTAAGTGACTTTAATGAATATGATTCAGTCCAGTGCCTTTGAAAGGGGACAGGAACTAACTAGCTTGTGTAGGTTTAGCAATGCAACAACTATATTACAAGTCTTCATATGTGTTTTTCTTCCCACTGTTATTTTATTCTATCAACTGAGAAAACAGCAACATTTCTCAAAAGGGCTTCCAGGCATAATTTTCTTAAATAGGGCCTCTCTCTGGAGCCAAATGAGAGTCCTTGGCCAGAAGAGAAAAGGCATACTGATGGAAAACAACCAGCAGCTGCAAAAGCCAGGCAAAGCAAATTGCAGTCTTTATCAACTGTTATACCCTCTATGTTCCTACACAGTGCCGAGTTTTAGACGCGACAACAACAGCAGTTTAATATAAAGGGACTTGGAGAATTCATCATCATGCTTTGATTATTATTCAGAAAAATGAAAATATGCATTTCACTGAAACAAGGTGGTCAGAAAAAGATTTTTTAAGCATAAATGATATGTTTTGTTGAAATATTTTAATTTGGAACAAGCTTTTTCATTTAACGCCTATATTTGTGTTGATCATACCTGTAATGTTTATGTTATCTCTCGCAAGTTTTAAAACATTTTAATGTAATAAACTATAGTTTCCAATCATTTTTATGCAATAAGTTAAGGATTGTCCTCCAGTTTCTGTTGAAGTAAATTTTATTTTAGTATGACTATGAAAAGTTATAGAATAAGCAGACTGATAAAATTCTGGCAGGAAAGATTTTTACAAATAAAAATACTTTAACAGGACACGTGCAGTCCCAGAGTCTACACATCATACTGATAAACAGCTCTGGATGAAAACAGAATTTAAAACAAAATCCTTTAAATCCAGGTACTGTATTATGTGGCTCAAGTATAACGATAAAAAATAACCAACGTGATATTTTAACTTTTTTTTTCAAGCACACACGCACAAAAAAGAAACAACATAACAGACCAACACATTATCATCTAGAAGCCTTCATCAGGGTCTGACATAGACATAATCCTCCTGAACTGAAATACAAGCTGTGGGTGGCAATTAGACTGTGGATAAATGCATAAACAAATATTTTTTCATGGCATAAATTCAATCTCAGCGCTACATTACAGGACCAAACCACAGGCACATGTCCTAAAACTATGTTCAGCAGCACATGCAACATGGATTAAGGGCTGGGTAGACTTAATAGGTTTAGAACAACAGATTGCTTCTGGTTTAAGTCCATCAGCTATCTTTGAGATAGAATCAAAACTACAGTCCATGAACTCTGTAAAAACAGACCCCTGGATTTTCTTATTGGGCAAAAAGAAACATTGATAAACTCCTTTTTTTTTAAGTTGGAACACCAGTGAATAACTTTTGGAGGAAATTTGTGTATTTGCATTAAGATAAAGATTATCTTCTTACATCCAGAAAAACCCGGTTTAGATTTCTCAAACTTTTACAGGATTTAGTTCATGCTGCTGTTTATTGTACCCCTATGTCCGTTCTGTGGTAATTAGGTTTTATCCTTATTTCCTCATAGTAAATATAAAATGTAAACGCACAGTTCCCCAGTGTTGTAGGGCTCACTCATGTGCCAAGCTTTTAGACAGGCATAATGACAGTCATTAAATCGTCACATCACTGATTTTCAGTAGATTATTTGTACTGAAATAGGTTGTTCAACAGCCGCTAACAACGCTGCACTTTCATTAATGTTATGCAAAGATTTACCGTAAGTATAGGAAAACTCTGACAACAAAAGGAGTACAGTGCAAAGCTTGTTGCTCACTTGTAACATCTTCATTCTATTATCCTCTCCCTGCAAACGAGAGTACTGTGCAGAAGTCTCGAGCCATCCTTTATTTCTTTATATTTTTCTTCCAAACAGCATGACTTTATTGTATTTATTAAAGGGGTTTTGAGCAGTAGTTCTCCTGGCTTGCTGAAAGGATTTCCAAGTTTTTCTTTGGACACTAGCTGCTTTTTCCATCTATTTTCAGTCCAATCCTCCTACCTTAGATTTTTCATTGTTAAGCCACTGACTTTATAATTTAAAAATAAAAAGGGATCTAACTCAGGGAAGAACCAGTGTTATATTATTGGGCATTTTTTACTAGCAGCATCTCACAATGCTGCTAGTAAAAACAATTTTTCACAATGTTTCCATTTCTTTAGTTGAATCTGTAAAAAGCCATTCTTAAGGAAGGGAAACAGGGAGAAATGCTGCTATCCTAAATATAGAAGAACCGCATTGAAAATCATGCATTAAGTATTATGAAGTGATGACTCCAAATTTTAAATGTTTGTAGGCACGTACTGAGGTCAGCAGAGAGGCACAACACTGACTGCAGTCATCTGAAAAACACAGTGGAAGCTCTTTTATGGTTTGGGGCTGCACTGCTGCCAACAAGTGTTGGGGATCTTGTCAAAATTGATAAAATTACGATTGCAGAAAAGTACAAGTATCAGATTTTATCCACTATGCCACTATGCAATACCATCTGGAAAGCATCTCAGTGGCAGCGGCTTTATTTTCAAGCATGACAATAATCCTAAACACACTGCCAATGCTGTGCATAGTGTAGCATCTTAGGAGCGACTGCACGGGATATTCCAGCATGCTCCATGACATTGTGTTAGTTGAAATGAAATTAGGGAGCTTTAACATATCTGTTATGGTTACATATCTGTTCTAGCTGTGTTACTGGTTTACAATGTAGGAGTGAAGTGACGTCGAGGATTAGTTACCCCCTGTAAACACAAAGTCACGGGTGGGATTAAATACTAAACAAACTATCATTCTCCTGTAGCTGTGTGGTTTGTGGAGCACAAGGCCTGACAATTTATTCACACGCTTTAATTGAATTTAAAGTGCTGCTCAAAAATAGTCAAAAAAGGCAAAAAAAGCTTCCAACCATACAGCTGAAACTACAGCCTTAATATACCAATATATTGAATAAAACAAAATACATCCTGTGGCTGTGTGGGTGGAAGACTGGGTCGTCCACCAATCAGAAATTCGGTGGATTGATCCATGACTCCTCTAGTCTGCATGCCAAAGTATTCATGGGTGAGACACTAAAGCCCAAGTTACCCCCACCCCACGGAACCACTGGAGTGTGTGAATGTTAGAAAGCGCTTGGACATGAATAAATGTGGTGTATGAATTGCTCAGAGGTTGGGGCAGTTCAGTAGAAAGTCACCGTACTAGTCCAGTTGCCATTTTCCTGATCCACAAGCCTAAACGTAGCAACTCAATGGCTGAGGGGGAAATTTGATTTTTATTAGTCACTGTAATTTACTTGTACTTTACAGATTAGCCGTATGGTATGAAATTGGTTAAATATGAAAATGTAAAAATGACAAATAAAAATCCGAAAGATAAATTATACCCTTTGAACATCATCTGAAGTTGACTGTCTTTAGCGTCAGCTTTCGTTTTGTGTGTCCTTGGCTAGCCTGTTAGCCCTACAGGTGCTGAATAACAGCTAGAAGTGGGCTAAAATTTATTGAGAACCTAAGGTGACACGTGGACTGAGGCGTTTATTTGACCGTGTAAACGTCAGCCTTAATCATAATCGCCCCGGGTTACGTTGATGTTGTTGTGATTTACCTCTGTCGTTGTTGTTAGCTAATTAGCAGCCGTGGCTACAGTAGCGTCGGTCGCCATGGTTACTGCGTGGACAGCACAGTGTCAGCAGAAAGTGACTGAGTAGGCAAAAATGGTGTGCAGTGTGGACAAGTTACATTTTCTCGAGCATTACCTCTTAATTAACGTTGAGTAGGTGTCCGTTTTTGTGTTTGTGTCTGTGTGGTGGTCTCACCTTCCCACTCGCTCCGTCTCCCACAACTACGATTTTTAGCTGCTTGTCCTGGCTCTCCTCCTCGGAGTCCGACATGGCGCTACAAAATAATTTTTAAGAGCACTTAGTGCTTGAAACCGAAACGGTAGAAACGAATCAAGGGTGGATGTATGGAGCTGTCACGCTAATAATCACAAACGGATTAGACTAGAGCTGAGTGGGCACGCAGACGCCATTTTGACTCCACTAAGAAGACTTGACTGGCTGCAGCAGCTCTCAATACGATCCACTCCACGCGCCGCTGACTCCACTTGCACCGATTTTTCCAGTTAAAGCGAGAGTACCGGACAGTCCTCGGGATTTGGCATTTCAGTCTTTAAATATCCTCTTTACCGCCATGAAGCCCTTCTCTGCAGGAGAAAGACCCGAACCGGAAACCGATTCACCGGCGTGTGTGTGTGTGTGTGTGTGGTGGAGTCCTGTGTGTGACGCGTTGCCGTTGCCGTGGTAACACGGGGTTAAAGTGCAGGTGTAAAACATGACAAATGTAACAAAGTGCATCTGAAGTGCACTTTTACTGAAGTGATACAGTATAAACAAAAAAAAACAAATAATTTTTAATTTTATACTGTTGTGTCGGTGCTTCACATTTTTTATCTGTTGATGCGGATTTTAGATCAACCACTGTGACTCAAATCAAAGAAAATGTTTGTTTTAGGTCACATTGAAACTGTCTTGTCTGTGACTTGTTTTTTCTTTTTGTTGTTGTTGTTTTTATTTTCTTTCTGTGATGAGACAGTGGTGATGGAGTTCAAGCGAGACTTTGCCATTGTCACAAGAACTGTGTGTGTCTCCATATGATACCATTTCAGAAAGTGTGGGGAACACGTGCAAATGCCACGCATGCAAGGTTTTGTAAAATTGCTTTGAGTGCACAGACTAGTTACTATAAGTATAGTTTTTTGTGTGTGTCTAAGAGAAAGAGACATGAAACAGAAGTGAGGTCAGTGTTTAATGGCTGTAATGATTATACATGGGATAATGAATTCCCAACAGTTCCAGAATGTTATAATGTTATGTTATAACAAAAACCCCTATGATGATTGCGGGGGAAACAAATCAAAGGTCCAGTTTACTCTGCCCTGGACAGAGTTACTGGGATCCCACCCTGGAGCCAGTCCTGAAGTAGGAGCTCGAGGGTGAGCACTTGGTGGCCAGGCCTTAGCCCATGGAATCTGACTGGGCTTAGCTCAAAGAAGCTATATGGGTCTGCTCTTCTGTGGAACCACCACCCACAGGAGGGGCTATAGGGGTTCAGTAACTTGTGGACTGAACAACAGTTAGGTGCAATGGTCCTGGTAGTCTGATTCCAGGCCACCATGTCACTCCAATGTTGTGTGGTTTGCCTGTTCAAGGAGAGGGTATGCTTTCAACTAAAGGGAGATCAGGAGCCTTCCCGGGAAGGGTATTAGAGAGGTCTGATTGTCTGTTTGTCACACTTTGGATGCAGCAGGAACAATGCGGTTTTCAGAGTATGGAGTATCTTGACTGTTGTTATGTGCCATTCAGTACCTGTATAGCTGCAGCATGAGTTTGGTCTGTATTCCAGGAGTGAGTTAGACACATTTCTGGTGGGTGTTGAACTCCACGAGGGCTGCCCTTTACCCATTCTGTTCATAAACTTTTATGTTTTTTAATATTTATAATTCTGTTGGCTTCATCAACCACTTCAGCTTGTACTAGAGTGGTTTACGACCAAGAATGAAGTGGTGGGAATGACAGTAAGCACCTACAAGTCTGAGACCATGTTTCTTAGCCAGAAAATCTGTAGAGTGCCCGCTCTGAGACAAGTTTCTTCTCCCACTGGCTCCCAGTTGCGGAGTTTAAGTATCTCAGGATCTTGTTCATGAGTGAGAGGAGAATGGACAGATGAACTGAGTCAGTGTCCGCAGTGTTATGGACAGTTTACTAATCTGTTGTGGGAAAGAAAGAGCTTCAGGTCAGTCTACGTTACTACCCTCACCTGTGGTCATGAGCTCTGGGTGGTGATCAAAAGAAAGAGCTTCCTGATATAAATCAGTTGAGAAATGAGTTTCCTTTGAAGGGTAGTACCTGTGACAGCGAGGAGCTCGTTCATTTGAGAAGGACTGAGTAGAGCCATTGCTTCTCCATATTGCAAAAAGCCAGTTGAGGTGGTTCAGGCATCTGACTAATTAAGATGCCTCTCGGTCCCTTCCTAGGTAAGGCATTTCAGGCACGTCCTACCAGGAGGAGACCCAGGACTCACTGGAGGAATTATGTCTTGGCTTGTCTGGGAACAACTTGGTTTTTATAATGGATAAGCTAGAAAAGCTGGCCAGGTTTGGGCTTCTCAGCGTAGACTGTTGCCCTCACAATCTGAACCCAAATGAGCAGTAAAAAGAAGACGGATGGATGGATGATTAAAATATAGTAAATTATAAATGTATTTTAGGTAAAACAGTATATGATATTGTGTGAAACCTGGTGTTTTTCTCCAAAAATGAGTGCTGTAAAGCCTTAAAAAAATACTTTCTATGAGTAGTATGTAAAGATTAAACAAAGTGGCACAAGGGGAGACAAAGACTAGTCAGGAGGTGAGGGGGATTTGAGAATGCAAAAATTATATCAGTGACTAAAAGAAGCAACCCAACTTAACCTCCTAGGACCTGCGTCCACATATGTGGACATCACATTTTGGGTTATGTAGACCAAAATACTCAATTTTGCTCTGCAAGGGCCTGATATCCACTTATGAGGACCTTATATTGCAACTGTTCTATTGAAATTTTAAATGTATATGCTCATATGTGGCTCTCATTTTTCTTATAAACAAAAATTAGGTAAAAAAAATTAATCTGGTAATTCTTTGTTTTTACATTCTTCAGGTCCCAATCAGCCCAAATATCAAAGAGAAATGAAAAATGCATGTCATGGAAGAGTTTGGGTCTTAGGAGGTTAAGTAAAAGTGCAAATGTATTATCTTCCCAAGACACCTAAACTAAAATATGTTTATTATAAGGAGAGAATTATGCAAGAGTGAATATGGTAGTAGAAGTATATTTTCCAAAGGAAACATGTTTTTTAAAACTATATTTTGTTGCTGTATTCATTTTTATCAGATTTTACTGGTGATTCAATTCAATGTTATTTATGTAGTGCCAATTCACAACAATAGTTGCCTCAAGGTGTTGTCTGTGTGTTTCAAGATAGCTGCCAAATGTTAGAATATACATATTATTGTCATTTTACTTCAGTCAAATGGTAAATAAGAAGAAGAAATTCATGCTTTTGAAATAATGTAGCAGAGTACAAAGTACATTATTTCCTTTTAAAAATAGAAAGTGGTACTGCAGTATTTAAATGGGACCTACAATATGAATTTCCAACTAATTTTTTTCTTTTTTTTCTGTGAGAATAGCTTTGCTTGAACCACAGTTCAAAATAAACAACGCATTTCAGCTCTCCCCTGTCCTTTATAGTTAAATTCTTCTGATTTATTGCCTCTCACAAACAGAAGGTTTGAAAACCAGGTGTGTGGAGCTCCTGTGTTTTGTGTCTGAGATGTCTGTATTATACGGATGAAAGATTAGAGTCCAGACATTTAGAGCTCCATATACTCTGCTAAGGTACTGTTTTCATGTACTTTCAGTACTTCCATTGTCAGCTTCTTTGTATGTCACATTGCCTTTCCAAATATTGGGTTATTTGTTCCACTGCTTTAACTCGATCATTAATAATAATGTTGTGCATAAACATATAATTATCTTTTGAAATATGTTACAATGCAATACGACACACCGTCAAAGGGCCTAGGTGCCTAAAAAGCTCCAGCTCAACCACTCATTGAAATGATCATACATTAGCAGTACAGTAACATGAAAGCAGCCATTCTTTGAGTATGCTGACTTTTACAGCTTATTATGGCTTAAGTCAAGTTTTGAATGAAGACCTTGTATTTATAATGAGTTCTTCTGAAAAGCTTTGTTCTGGATTGCTTCTTTCAGTCAGTCTCAGTACTTCCACCACTAAGCTGAAGCGTCTCTTCATTCATATCTGTGTGTACTTTATGCATTGTCTGGAAATCCCCATTGACTGAGTACTGATAAAGACCTGCACTTCAAACAAACAAAATAGCAGAGATTGGTCTATTGAGCACAATAATATTAGTTTTAATGGGGTAAATAAAGTGTTGGCTATAAACCAATATCTATATCATCTCTACCACAAAAGATTTAGAACAGACTTTTCGTGAAGTTGCCATTTAATGCCTGATCACATCTCACATTCAGACGGTAAAGGGGATTCTTGGAGTGCAGATTGTGATGACTAATTATAACAGCTGTAACGGTACAAAGGCTCGAAAGAACTATTTAAAGTTATAGAACCACCTTACTCGCTTTTCTTTTCAATATGTATTATTTTGTTTTTGATGATAAACACTTTTGTGCACCACGTGTTAAATATCTGTATTAATAACTACATTTCAGCAGTCTGCTCTTCATAGATAGACAAATATGTCTTTTTTTAACATTACACTATTTGAATTTTTTACCAGTTAAATATAAATTATATCTTTACTCCAATTGTTGACACTGAAAAAAAAAAACAAGAAAATAGTAATTCTGTTAGGCATTAAAAGAAATATGATTCATTCATGTTTTACATGAACGCTTTAGGTTTCATTCCTAACTTTTTTTTTATTCAGTTTACAAATATGCACCATTACTTACTCAACAAAATAAACAGAAATTACAAGAATGTCTTAAACTATTGTCTGGATATTAAAGCTGAATCTGTCAACCATGGGGAGACACACAAAATATTTTATAGCCTACAACTTTACCATTGAAACCTATAATCTACAAACTATGGAATTACAGCTATGTCCCAGATATCTCACTGCATAGTTTTTTGTTTTTTCCCCCACGACTGCTGGAGCTAGATGCGCACAGTGTAACTTAATATAAACGAGCAAGTTCCATTTACTGTATGGAAGAAAAAGAAAACATTTCATGTGATTGGTCTTTGTCACAACTTACATCTTCTATCAACTGTTTTTGTATGTTTTCTTGAAAATGTCACATTGCCTTTTCAGTGCAGGGGAAGGATGGCACTGGGAATAGGGGATAACGAGGAATCTGCACCTGAGCCACTTTGAAGCAAGTGGCAGTGAATGGCAGCTCGGTATATCCCAAAGTCCTTATAAGGGTGTGATTGACAGATTCCTTGGTGAGACAGAAAGCTACAGAGAAAAATATTGTCTAATTGTTTTGTTGTTTTGTTTTGTTTTTTTAAAAAGGGTTTTGTAAGAAGAGAAGCACAATTTGAGGACGGCGAAGAAACAGCAGTTTGAAAAAAAAACATCCAGAGAGCTACTTTGAATTTCACTGTTTATTTTGCATTGCAAGTTCAGTCTGCTGTGTGTTTGATCTGCAAAGAATTTAAAGTTGCAGAGTGAATGTGCTCCAAGAAGGTCTCGGATCTTTTGTATGTCAGGATTAAAGCTCGACTCTTCAAATGCTTAAAAACACGGAAATACAAAGATCAGTATGTCTTTGGAAATTTCCGGTGATTGCTGGCTTGTGATCATTATGTGGTAAAATCATCAATGTCGTGAAAAATCTGGTGTCACAAAACTGGCATGTTGAATATAATGTTGCAGCGTTAGTCCTTAAAACATGGGGATTAAAGTTCATGCAAAAATAATAACTGTTAAAGCACTATTCAACATGCAAATAATAATAATAATAATAATAATAATAATAATAATAATAATAATAATAATAATGAGAACGCTACTTGGTGTCCCTCGAACCATCGGTGAAAAAAGACAAATGGAAAGAATTGTGACCGGAAAAACAGCTTAAAATATCCAAGTTCGGGCACTCGGGAAAGGTGGTTGTTCAAAGCGCTACGTTGAGTGCCTGGAATTGTGTGGTTTGAGACATTTTTCCAGTTTTTCTTTGTATGAAAAAGAATAAAAAACAAAAAAAATAGTTGTAATAAAAAGGGGGGGGGGTTCCTCTAATTAATTTATTTTTTAAATCCAAATCCAATATGAGAGTATATTATTATTTTAAATCACACAGACACACACACATAGGCAGATTAAATATCCCTGCTAATAACCGTTATATAATGTTCTCGTATACGATGGTAAAAATATCTTGAAGTAAATGAAGCCGTGACTGATTGTTCACAGTTTGACTTGTTTCACGGGGGAAATAAGATTTGACAAAGGTGATTGTTGAAATCGCGTGTTATGGTGAGATTTAAACATTCAACGATTCGCTAAGTGACTTTGAGAATACACAGGGGGATTTTATTATCCCGTTTACTTTTTCTTCCTTCTGTACTTCACGCGGAAAAAAAACTCAAAAGCAGACTAAAGTTAGATTGGGTAATATGGGATAAGTGTTCATAATCACAAACTTAAATCCACCCTTTGATGATCTTTTACTGATCCTTTATAAGATGGAAACATGTCAGTTTTCTGTCATCGGTACTGTAACTCAGTATATAATAATAGGTGCGGCGTTCCTGTGAAAATCTAATTTCTTTTTGCTCTGTACAAAAATCTAGAAAGACGATGGAATTTTCCATGACTTCCAGATCAATTAAAGCCAGGTTTGGAAAAAAAAAAGGAAATTATTTTTCACAGAACGACCAAAAATAGATTAAATAAAGTGACTGGTTTGGACTTATCTTGGTCATAATCCGAAGTCCTGCTTTTCCAGAAGAATATTCGATTAAGCATTCGAAACTACATCTCCTTTGTTGTAGTCAAAGATATTACTTTTTCACGATAACCTTTTAAAGAAGAGAAGCTGCTGCTTGTGCGTAAAATCTAAATAAAATTTAAATTCTGATTTTAACATATTAATACATTTGTTTGTTTAGGGGAAACTGTAGAGAATATTTGCTGTAAAAGTCAAATCTGAACTGCAATACTACAAAAACAAAACAATAATATTGCAACGTACGAAGCATCAGCTATGGGGAAATAACGGGGAGTAGTTGGAATGGGTGTAATGTACACCGATGGGGGTGTTTGCATTTCAAGTCGCTGAGGTTAAAAGGAAATAGAGCCGCGATATGTCCCTCTATATCAGATATCTCCACATGCAGGTAGGAAAGGAAGCAATGTGGGACGGTCCACTCCCCAATATCCCTCTCTGTCCTTCAAGCTCCAAAGGAGCCAATGAGCATCATCACTGCTCCTGGCGATGGCCTAGGTGACAAGTATACCTGCATCAAGTAGATTAGATTTGAGGACATACAGGCGCCTTTCGTGAGTGGGCATGTCTTACTATATAGGGTGAAAAAGAATGGTGCATTGATCAACTGAGACACTACATATACCCATTTGAAACTTATTGCAATTGTAACTTGTAACTTGTTTATTGGGACACAATTGTAACTTGTGTCCCAATAAACGGAGTCTGCAGGGTTGACGGTCTTGATTCCTTTTCGCGTCCATGTGTCCCACGCGATAACTTGGATGTTCAGTGTATCTTTAATCATTCACGCTGATCTTCCTGTCCAACAACCAACACCTCATGATACACCCCCTGATGGCTGCGTTAGGGTCCGTAAGTAATGGAAGTATTTTGAAAGGTAAGAGATGGATGTTTAATGTACGACAGCTCCCTGTTGACCCTGACTTAACACTTAGGCCTTTATTGGATACAAAATAACAGCTTGTACGACCCCCTCATATTTCAGTTGCACCATTCAGCCGGAAGTTAGCGAAGCTTCGTGTTTTGTTTCATTTTTTTCTTTTAAGATATTGTCTTCCATCTGCTAAAAGTAGCAAATGAGAACCCCCTTTTTATTCTCTGACAGCAGTGACATCGGCCTCCTTAACCCCAGAATACTCCTCTCCTCGTGCTGACATACGGCCCTAAAGGTAGCTGTCAGTTTGCCCTGTCCGGGAATTACACAGCCATTCATCACTGTCTGACAGGTGTGTTTAGGAAGAAAGCCATAGTGGCCCAGCTGACGGGGTCTCAGTGTCTGACAGTAACACCATAGTAAACAGAAGGAAAGTGAAACGAGACACAAAATTTAAGCACAATAATGTTTACAGTGGTAGGTGTATAAATAATAATTTAATTGAAATTAAATAGACTAGATTCTTTTTTTAAACAACTATATTTAATTTTTGGTTTACTGCGTCTGTGTGTGTGTGTGTGTGTTTGTGTGCGTGTGTGTGTCCACTGTTGATTTAGTAGGATATTATCCGAGTTTCAATCGTTCAGATCTCAAAGCACAGAAAAGTCAACTTTTCAATTAATTAATGTAATTATTGGTATAAGTTAAGATCCACGTTAATCCGATTTAACGACAATTTATGATTATTGTTAAGCTTCGAGAGGACTTTTGATGATAAAAAACCAAAACAAAATAAAACACAAAAAGGAGGGGCGCGGTACAGCATTGTACCTGGACCTGTAACTATTCTGAAATTTCTAGAAAAGCTTATAATTAATATCAACAATAATTCAGTGGGGGGGGGGGGTTGTGCATTTATTTTCTTTTTGGCCATTAAGTTAAAAAGAGAGAAAGAAAGCCTATTTGTATTTGTCGGACAAAAAGGGGTTAAATTGTTTAAATTATTGGTAAAAAGTTTGATTGCTTTGTGGATATTTATATTTAATGTTCCAATACTAAACGTAACCCTTAAAAAATAAAATTGCATCCCAAATGAAAGTAATGCCTGATATGTTTTAATGTTTTTCGATCTAAACAGTCACTTAACACAAATAAAACACGTACATTTTAATAGGAGGTCGGCTTGTTTTAGCCTGCTTCCTGCTATAGGCCAGTAACTCAACAAACCGCCTCTTTTCAGTCTAACAGCGAACCACACTATAATGCATTGAAATAAAGTAACGTATATGCTCAAAAGTGCTGAATTATCTTACCTTTACAAACACAGCAAGAGAAAAAAATACACAACCTGAAACAGAGACAGCTGTTTGAGAAGTTAATGGAATATGCCTATTTCCAATCACTGCAGAGGTAGGAAGGCGCATGTAAAATATAAATCGACATTAAGGTGACATTTTCAGTCTGCTCAGGCCTCCGGTTTCCAAAACAGGTTCCGGGGGCTTCGGAAGTCCTTGAGGGAGTCCAAGCAAAGACACAAATACTTTAATATTATTGCTGTGTCACTCCTCAGAGGATAACATAGTGACATTTTTAGGAGGTCCTGTCTCTCCGCTTATGATTTTAGGGTCTAAACCATGAGAAACTGTTTCTTTAACGGGTCCCTGGAGGGGGGAAACCTTACTACATACATGAAGGAGTCGCTTTAAAGTATTTCAGGATGTGAAAAGCCATGAAAAGTTTTTGCTGTCTTGCCTGGACAACATGGTGAGGAAATTCAATCAGAGACGTTGAGCAGTCCCCTCGGACCTCTTCCTCTTGTCAGAAGTAAAGCTATTTGGGCTTCCTGGGAGCAAAAATAATAAAAATGAATAAATACAGTCACCGAGTTTTCACTGGTTCCCCGCACACGCAGAGAGCGTCCATGCAGGGAGGCAGTAGGCGTAGGGGTAATAGTAGGACGGTTGTAGGGAGAGCAGCGGGGGCCGTAAGATCTCTCCCGGGCTGTACTGTCTCTGGTCGTCCCGCACCAAAACTTTCACTGCCACCTTCTTGGCTGCTGGGGTCGAAGCCATCAGATCGGCGGCCATCTGGCGGCGTTTCGTCTTGTACCGGCGGTTCTGGAACCAGATCTTCACCTGAGTCTCTGTGAGCTTCAGGGAGGCCGCCAGGTCCGCCCGCTCCGGCCCGGAAAGGTACCGCTGGTGGTTGAAACGGCGCTCCAGCTCGAAGACCTGTGCGTGAGAGAAGGCAGCTCTGGAGCGCTTTTTCCGCTGTTTAGGTTGATCCAGACTCTTCTCGTCCAGGTTGCTGGAATCTGGAAGAGGAGGGCACACAGATGGACGATGCATTTGAATCTCTTATTTGTCTCACATTTCGGGGAATTACGTTCATACTTGTCGATTATTTCATGGTTGCTTTGAGTTTTGAATCAGTGAAACGAAAAGGCGAAAAATTAAACTTAGAGAAATGTGCAAACTTATACGAAGGTATGTTTATTTTCACTTTTTATTAAAAACAAACTGCGTTTACCTTTCTTTTTTTATTTTAGATTAAACAAAAAAGTTCGATTTTCATTTAGGCCTCATTTAAAATTATTTCATTTAAGATCATTACTCCTGACATTAAACCAGCCGTGTGTTGCTGGTCGATTATACCGTCAGTCAAAACATAAACGTGCCAAATCATCAACGTTATCGAGTCTAAAATTAAGCCAGGAATGCATATATACTCATGCGTAACGAGAGGACTTGGTGCATAAAAGCTATCAGGATGTGAAGAAGTTTTGAAAATAGGGCCTATGCCCTGCAATAACACCTGGCAGCTCTTCTTGTGATTCCATACAGCTGTAACAGCAGTGTAAACATCTAAATTAAAAGAGCACTTGGCTCTTTCAGACTGAACTCTGTATTAAAGCGAAGAGTTTTGCGGAGTCTTATTGTTGTACTTAAACCAGTCACGCTTTCCCCCCTGAGTTATAGTTATTCTGATCTTTCTGGCCTACTTACCCGTGCCATTACCGGGCTCCGTGTCACTCTTGGAGTTTTCCGCAGCTGCAGACTCGTGGTCCGTCTCCTCTTGCAGGCTTTCCTCCGGCACATCCGACGCAGGGTCTCCGTCTTTCTCCGATTTACATGGGGCTGGAGTCTTGCTGTCGTTGTCCTCACTGAGTCCCGAATCCGAGTCGTAGCTCTTCTGGTCGGTCGGCTCACAAGCTTCACTCTCGTTTCTCCTGGATCCGCCGTCCATCTCTCCGAATATTTTCCAGCAGGCAGTCTTTGAGAAGCACATGTCCAAATCTGGCAAGTGTCGACTGTCGTCTTTTTTGTTCAGGATGGCTTGGATTGAGAAAGGCATCAGTGAGTTGCCACGAACGGCCATTTTTCAAAGAAGCGAAGATTGCTCTGACTTCAGGTTCAGTAATTACCCGGCCCAGATAGTGGAGTAAATGTCAGTTCATCCACATTTTATTTTACTCCCTCCGTCGATCGCTGCTGGCTCTTAACTTTGCCCCTCCAGTGTTGGTTTCTAGTCGCATCCCTCGGGAGAAGCCGTAAAAAGTTTCTGCTACATCCGCAGAAGCGATGCTGCTCCGCTGCATAGCTCTACCATCAACCCGGGCTCACTACAATCTCCAGCTCTTTTCACCCAATTTTTTCACCATACGCCCTCACCTGTGACTGACAGGCAGCCTTTTCGCGTCCGATTGGCCTAGAGAAGAGGAAAGTCGTTTTATGATTGGCCACTGTAAACGACGTCATGCTGCTTTTAACCAGCTGGGGGAAGAAAAAACTTTCTTTGGTCAGAGCTTGAGAAGCAAATGTCAACCAACGCATTTATTTTAACCGAAACTTCATCCAAAACAAAAGGACAGTCTTTGTGCATGTATGACTCCTGTGTATGGGATTGCTTTTTGGTAATGTTTTATTATGTAAAAAAAACGTATGGTTAATTTAGCAAAAGACCAGATTTCCTTGCTTTGCTAAAGTTTTTTTTTTAATCCTGCAGTAAGAAAAACGAGGATGGCATGCGCAAATGTCCGAGATCACAAGATAGTAGAATTCACCAGCAACATCATTCAGAACTGTATAGTAGAAAGCATTGTCTCCGGTTTTCCTCAAATCACTTAAATGCACCATCAGGACTGAATTTGTAGGAAATTTAATCATTAAAAAAACCTTAACCCTTCATCAACCCTCAGATCTGTCTGGGAATCCTGTGCGTCCCGCGCGTTATGTGATGGTTGTTGCCTTCAGGGTTGACCAGCGAGTGACAGGCTATTCGCGCCGTCTACCTTTAATTAAGTTAACACAATGTATCGCCTTCTTTACACCCAGGATGTTGAATCGTTAAAACCTCAGCATATCCGCAAACTTCTTCAACTATATAAATAGACTACGAGTAAAAAATAAAAGGCACCACATTTCTGAAGTCTTATTAGATTCAGTAGAGGCTGTTTTTACAGATTTCAGTTCAACGCCCTTTAAACAATGAATTCCTTTTTCCCTGATGAATAAGAATCAAAACTGATTTTACTTCCATTTAAAATAACACGTGACTCTTTTAAAAATCGCCTTTTTTGCGGATAATTATTTTTTGCGTAAAATGAACGTTTGCCTTTTTTTTAAGCCAAGTTTTGTTGAAACGCTCTAAATATCAGATATACTGAATGTATGACCACTTTTAGGCACTACTATGGTGCTGGGTATAAAGTGTGATAGTCCACCCTGTCCCAAAGTTTAAGTGGACAACCATCTGAGCTGCAGGTCCGGATCTTGACCTTTGTGGCGTTTTACACGTCGCTCGCCTAAAAAACCGGATCTCAGCGCTTTCCTGCTGTTTTTATTTACCACTAACTTGGATTAAATAGTAAACATAATGACCTCGTCGTCGTCTTAACGCACAGGTCAGAGGATAACATGGACATAACATAGTTATTAGGATTAAAAAGAACTTTTTAGATGACCTAGACACCTCACACGATCCTAATGAAAAGGTATTAAAACCTTTGCTTTTAAGACATATTTGTCTATGGAACTGTTTGACGCGTTTAATTCAGTTTATTCTTATCAATGCTGGTAAGAAATCGTGTCAATTAAGATAAACAGGGACAAAACGTATTATTATTATTATTATTATTATTATTATTATTATTATTATTATTATTATTATTATTATTATTATTATAGCACGAATACCTGTTAAACTTTTTTCCTAATTTTACTACATATTTATATTTTGTTTCCTTTGCGCTTTTGAGCCTCATTTCATTTTCTGCGCTTGACTTTCGCTGCCGGCTTTAATCTACAGTTAAACGCAGAATCGATTATTTGAAAAAATACCAGATGAAAAGTTTCGTTGAAATAATCTTGAACTGTGAAATCAAGATCAAGAAAAGCTCAAGTTTCAGTCAGTGTTCTCGATCCAGATGCTTTTTGGACATATTTTCTGTTCTGAAAAATCAGAGGACCTGAATAAATATTAGCTTTAAATGCTGAGCTGGATGATAAATCTAAATATGCCCTTTCTTGCGAGCGCCTTTTTTGTGCATCCTGAAAGCAGCTGGTGCGGCTGTGCAATACACCCACAACTCTGCTAAACGAACCCAGCATCCTGTGAATAACAGGTAGAAAAAGTGTGAAAATTCGCCCCAGCTGAGTGGAGTTAATCAGTGCTGCTGTCATCTGGTCCAAACCCTGTTGCGTGCATATATTATACCATCTAGTGGTCAGTGAAAATACCTCTTAACATTTTGACATCTGGTGTCTTTGGGGTCATCCCAGCCATTGGAAAAGTTAAAAACACGCTTTGCTTTTTTTCAGTGAACACATCTCCACAAGAAGTTACTCTCCCCAAAAAATTCAACGACATGGGAAGCCGCACGTCTGAAGTTTCTTTTAAAAATCACTCGGTGCAACCGCATGTCCCTGCCCCGTGAAAATGAATTAAATGAAATTAAGTGGCATTGTCTCAGGCCTGGATGTGACCTTGCGGATGAAAGTCTGCATCACCGCAAGCAATGAAAACACAACTGGAAAAAAGGAAAAGCACAAAACCGCCGACACATCTGGATATTTTCACACACTCTGCCCTTGTTCTTTTAGAAACTGCTCATTCCACCCAAGGCCAACAACACACAGAGTGGTATATCACACACTTCAAAAATCTCTTGTATTGTAGAAACTTTCTCTCTCTCCCTCTTTCTCATACCACACGGTTTTCTTTAGTCCTAAACAAGCCTCGTTGACCCGTACACTGCGCTTCATCCTGGGAAAAATGGAAAATAAATAGAAAAGTCTGCCAATTCTCCAGCAGAGTCAGCCAGTGTGCAGCCTATCACTGTGATGTCGAGCAGAGCTCCGCGGGTTACTCTGTGTTTTTGGTAACCGCCGCGGGGAACAGCAATAAGCGGCACGTAGCTGTAAGTGGCAGGAAATGTAAACAGCTGATTTGACTCACAAAAAAGGGACGATCATTTGAACAACTGGAATCAATACCTCATAACAATTTTAGGTAAATTAGGCCCTTTCCCCAGCATTCAACACCCTTTGCTACATTTAGTCTTGAAAATGTGCCATAAATCATCGAAAGGAACGATCAGAAAATTATTTTCTTATTATCGTTTCTCTTTTCTTTATACCTTTTTCTTTCAAGTGTGATGGACTCCTAAAAACAGCCATTTCAGGCCGTGATGATGAAATGTTACGTTATTACCTGTAAATGCCGATTAGAGCACTTTTTTAATGAATGATATACAGAATAATCCCATTAGCGTCATATTTTCTAATCGATTACAACAATATTTCAGTACAAATCTTTCTCCGTAGTTTATTCTGTAACGTTCTTATGTAACCCTCTTATTTTATGATTAAGTCGTTTTTAGTTTCGTTTTGTTTTTCTAATCTCTTGTTTTGTTAATAAAATAATATGTATCATAAAATACCCAGATAACGTAGTTGTCCCCAATAACTGTATTTAAATACAATACTTGGAAAATGAATTACTTACCTAATTATTTTGCTGGAGATATAACCATATGACACAGTTATAGCATTTTAATAGTTTCTAATATAAATATAATATTTTAATAGACTTGATAGATAATAGATTTTTCCCTAAATGACAATATGGTGGTACCCGTCTAAGGTAATACCTTTGTACTCTTCACAGCTTGTGGAGACCAGTCTTTTCTGTGGTTTCTATAATAAAATAAGGTATAAACTTGATTTTAGAGGTACACATTCAATTAATTTATGTACTTTTCATTATTAATTATTCATGCACTTGAATATGGACTGGCATTTGTATGAGCACTTTTCTACTCAGGCTAACCACTTTAATCTTTTTTTGTTCATGCATGTTTCAACACCTGCACCTAAGGCAAACTCATAATCACAGATTAACCTGACAAGCACGCATTCGGGTTGTGGCAGGAAACCAGAGAAACCAAAACGCTCAAGGAGAACAAAGACCCCAGGGAAGTTCAAACCCAGAACCTTCTTACTGTCAGGTGACAATGCTAACTGCTCCACCACTATGCTTCCAATACAAATGACAGAAACTGAGGGAAACATGTCAGATTGGATTAAATTCTTATGTTTAACCCTGAAATTTTAGAGTAAAATAAAAAATGTCACCTAACATTGTTTGTATTTGCACCTTAAAACTGAAAAAGAACTGAAAAACTCCCATCTATAGATACAGAAAATGATTTTTACTGTACTTTTTTTTTAGCATGAACTGGGGTATTATGTGTAAAACTGTGAACAACGTTAGGCAAAATGTATTTTATTTACCAAAGCAAATAGGAGGATTGTGAATTTCATAAGTGAAAAAAACAACAAATTTTGGCCATTTGCACTTAAAAACAGGGGGAATAAGCCAAAAAACGAGGTACATGTACTCTGAGACAAAGATAAGAACAGTATGCTGCTTCTTTTCGTCCAGCCAGCAATTCAAAACTCAAAACTATTTAGTTTAAATCAGAAAGACAACCAATCATCGCATTTGAGAAGCTGAAACTTGTCAATTTTCTTGGTGTTTTGCTTTAATACTTAAATAATTAATAGATTTTTTAAAATTATGTTTTTGGATAACATGTGAAAAAAGATCAAACCAATTTAAAAAAAAAATAATTCAATTTTGCATTTAAAAGACGTTTCACTCTTTGCCAACACCCCACGCTTTATCTGTTCACGGTCAACATTAACCTTAAAGGGCTGCTTTTGGCACAGGATGGCCCCCTCTGCTGGTGAAAATAAGAAACTGCCTACCTTAGAAAATGCTAACGTTAAAAACATGAGATGACCATGCCTGGAAAAGGTATATTCAGTCTGTTTTTTTCTACATTGACACAGTTAATTAATGCAGCTCCCCTCCAGTGAAATTCCTGCTTTCTTTCCAGTACAGAAATAAACTTTCACAGCATATTAGGCAGTTAATTCACCACCACCATCCTGCCCGTTCTTTGAATTTAATCTCATGTTTTAAACAGAAATCCTGCACCATGCAGTAACATACCAGTTGCTGTGGTAACATCTCTGTTTCCCCTCCTCCGCAGGATGTGTTTATGACAGGTCTTGATTTTTTTCTTTTTTTCCTCGTGCCC